ACGAATAATGCGAAATAAAATAAAATTTACTTATTCAATATCGTTTAATCCCATTATTAAACATTCATTTGCAGCATGCGCGCGACCGATCGCATTTGACGCGAGAGCGCGTCGCGTCAAAAATTAGTGGCGATGCTCTCGGACGGGCCGAAGCGAATTACGCCAAAATCCGTACGAAACGTTAACGTTCGACGTGAAATGATTCGTCGTAATCGGTAATGCTGTATATTCATGCACATAACCCGTCGCAAATACATCGGTCATTCCGATCGTTGGTAAACGTCAACCATCGAGCGAGCCGGGGCGCAACTATAGCGTTTCCACGAAACTGGAATCCCGAGAAATTAAATCTACCCTGTTCTATGCATTTTAGCTGAGTTATTTGCGCTTTGTCGATCTGTAACCTGTGAACTGTGACGACTACGGGAGTCCGAACGTCGTATCCCCAGTTGTGATTCCCAGAGAATTGCGAGCGATCGAAAGAGGCCGTCTGTTCGCGATCTGTTCGGCCAATCGTTCGATCGTACTGGCCCGCCTTTGATTTACGAGTCTGACGGGTGAAATCGTTCAATCACCGTGGAGTGACTATACATTGAAGCGCCTACGAAGGACTGTCTCGTTTCCGTTTGATTGCAGTTACCTGCGAGGTGCTCTCTCGCATACGCCACTTCGGTTGCCACTTCTATCGCGACAACAGTATAGCCATTGCGTTCACCCGGCGCCCTCGAGTCGAACGTATCGCCATTATGGATTAGCCCGGGGATAATGGATAACGGATCGACGAGAAACGAAGTGTCGGGTAGGGAATGACGTCGGCGCTAGTCGACGTGTACGGCGCGAATGAAGGTGCGTCGCACCTGACAGTTCAGCCAACGCTGGCATCGGGCTTGCCGGTACCCCTTGGCAGCCTGTAAACCGGTACATTTTCTCCTTCTTAAGTTGAATATCAAATGTAAATATATCTTTGTAAGTGTACAACAGAATACTTCTCGTGATACTATGTTTTGTCTCCGAAAATTGGTTACTTTGATACCACTGAAATAGCAACAATTTTGCTTTCCTTACGATTTTACGCGGCTTCTGAGTGATCACAGTATTCAGAAAATTTAATTGATCCAACTAGTAAATACAGAATGTATCTGAACTCCATTTACAACCTCATAGGATAGATTCTATATAAAAAGAATAAGTAAAAATATTTTAATAAATATATATTTTCAAACGTTTAGTTTTTTAGATATAGCTACCGTGATTTCAGTTTAAAAAATATATTTTGTTAATTAAATCGTATTTTACAAATAAGTAACTAGACATATATTGTTATAAAAATTGTCAAAAATTTCTGCTTTATCATAAAGTCAAGTGGAAATAATGCATTTTTTTAATAATTAAATTTATTCGCGACGAATGATAATAACATATCAACATTATAATAAATGATTCTTCGGTTAATATTCAGAATTATAATATTCAAATGGATAGAATAATAATATTCAAAGTGGATAGAATAGATATTATCTTCAAAAACGGGTAAAAAAGTGTTTTATTGGTATTCTTAACCCGCTTAAACAGTCAAAAATTTTATGTAAATAACGGTCCACTGAAATTATAACTTTCACATGGGAATATGTTACAAATGATACAAATATATGTTGAATTAATATGTTTACTTTGTTAATATTACTTTTTAACATATTCGTCTTGTTAAAATAACACAAATATTTCAGTGGATCGTAACTTACACAAAATTTTTATCGTGTGTCGCGATACATTTTCTCTCGTCACTGTCATCTTTTGAAAGCTATATTTCAAAAGCCGAGCTTTTGCGGACACATGTTTACTAAAACTTTTTATTTATTCTTCAAGATAGAATCTATCCTGTAAATTTGCCGGTAGAATTCAAATACACGTTACCATATTCCCCTCTGAAACGCAATATATAATATTCATTTTCTGGTAATTTTCATCGTCTCGTACTTACTTCTTCGTACTTTGACGGTCTCCGTGTCTAGACTTATCCGGCTTATCGCGTCGCGCCGGCACTGGGAGCTGGGAATCAATTCGATAGCGCCGGTCTGATGAGATATCAAGCCGGGACGGTTCGTGCCGGCGCGATTGACGAACTCGATAAACACGACAATAAAGAATCCCTCGAGGTCCGTCGGCGTGGCGTGTCGAATCGGCGATGACAGAATCGATCGCCGGTGCAGATACGAATCACGCTCGCGGCAGCGCGCGTGCCGCGCGCATCGTCGTCGGGGTAAATCCTTTATATTGGCTGCGGCAATCACCCTGTGCGTCAGGTGGGTAATTGAAGGTTGTATCGGGGGACGTTAAGCCTGCTCACGTGGTCGGACAAAGGCTGCGCGGCCGGTACGGAGAATTAACGAATCGATCGGCAATTAACATGCTCATTTTGGTGGGCAATTGAGGCGGGCGGGAAACCGGCGTAATTGCATCGCGATTATGGCGCATACCGCATTGTCCTCGCGCATTGTATACGCAAACAGCCGAAGATTAATTAACGCAAAATAAAACCGATCCGCCGGCGATGAGCCCTCGACGACGAGAAACGTACCGCTCAGTTTGCGCGTGTGTGTGCACGTGTAGGTCACGGGAAAAGCGTCAGCTGCGCTCTCAAATCCGATCTTCGCGCTGTAATGCGCGACGGTATAATTAAATCGGCCGAATTTGAAAACAACATAAGTGCATGACGTTCTCGGAGCCTGCGAGATGGCGAAACGAGAAGTGGCGTTGAAAAATATACCCGCGCGCGTCTCTCGTAGAACGAGGCGGGGCAAACGGAGAATAAGAGAGACGTCGAGACAGCGGAAAAACGGTGAGGCGGAAGATACGCGAGAGAATCGAGCGGAGAAACTCCTTGCGTCTCCCTCGAACAAAAGAAAAAAGGAAGAAAAAAAGGAATAGCGTGGCAGCAGGTCCGCGAGTCGTACACGAAGGGGGATGTAGTTTCGGCGGTTAGATGTATAGGGGAGATGAGGGCAAAGGGGGCGATTCACTCGTTCTCATTTCTCCGCAGAGGTGAATGGATGTTGCACGACACGTACCGCAACGCGGAGACGCAAATACCAATGTACGTGTATGTACTTCCGGTATTCGCCGGATAGCGTGTTGCGCCGGTCGGCACCACCATCACCACTGCCGCCGCCACCACCCACATCATCGTGAAGGTACGAGGATACACACACGGCTGTTTACGCCGACGACAACGAAGCCGCGCTGTGTATGTAGATTTACGCCGGTTTTATTGTCGCCGGTACGGCATACTTCGTTTTACGAATGCGTGGCCCGCACGGTAGTCGCGCTCGGATTTTCGCGCGATGGAATTCCGTTATTTCCGCCGTGGGTCCGAAAACAGGTAAAGCTTCGTCGTCGTAGCTTCGTCGTCGAAACAACGCGGGTGGTATCCACCCCGTGCGAACGAAGTTCCGCGTGGAAAGGTGGTATGCGAAGTTCGCGCGTGGAACCGCGAAGAGCAGAGCCGTAAAGGTCTCGCGGTTGTCCCACGACACAAATAACCCTTTAAAGGCCATCGCGCCAAAGCTGTCTCGCGATCCTTTTTTCGCTCGAGAAAACGCCCGCTCGAGCACGCTCGAATTTCTGTCGCGGGAAGATCGATACGCGAACACTTCGCGTTCCCCGCCCTGTTTTTATCCGTCCGACCCGTAGATGCGAGGTGATTACGCGTAGATTATATTAGCTCGACCTGCGATCCCGCCTGGTGAAATTTCGAAGTTTGATCATTATCGGGATCAAAGAAATTTGCGATTTTCCGCGAAACGCGTACGTGAGAATAGCTAGCACGGCCTCCGAAAAGTGCATTAGCGAGCCGCATTCACGCGACGACGCTCCGGTGTGTAAACGTTTGATCACACAGCCGGAGATGTGTCAAGTTTAAATTGAATAATGCCCGTTCTGCAAAATGAGCCTCTATCGTCCGATAACGGCGGCAATGATAATATGTAATTCAATTAATCGCCCCGGATGCGCGAGGCTGCGCTCATTCCAGTTTGCTTCTCTCAAACTACCACCTCCCTCTCTCTCTCTCTTTCGTTATTTCCCTGGACCCATACTGCCGACCGCACTAACACGTGCGTTTAATCGCATAGAACTTTATTACCGCTATGCTACATACGTACATTTTTCCGCGCGACACGGTCTGTCGCGTCGTCGAGTTTAGCCAGCAAGTATATATAATTTGAAACGCATCGGCTGACGAAACGCGAAAATATATATATATATATACATGTATGTACGCGGGACATTGCCGCTTTTACCGTTAATATCACAAAATATACATCTTTTAGTGTAATTTATGCCGCCTATTTACAGAGGAGCGTAGAAACGACATAATGGCCGGCAGCTGGCGTTCCATTATTGCCATTTATCCGTGCTAATTCCATTAATTCCATTAATATCTCCGAAAGATATTAATTTTCGATGGAATACCTTTTGCTTTCCTGACGTTGTAATAAACTGGTAACGCGGTAAAATCGGCCGCGGACGCGAGTTGGCCGATACCGAATCGCACGTATAATTATCGCACGCAAGCACACACTCGAACTGTGTATACTTTCTATCACTGATATCATTGTGTACGGCATTTTTTTACTGAGAGTATCGGCGACGAGTTGCCGCTGGGTTGCTTTATAATTCGAACTGTCCCACGATATCTCTGCTAACTGATTTGGTACATTTCGCAAATAAGAATGGTATCGTGTATGCGCACGATGTACCTTTATCTTCCCATATACGTGTATTTTCAGGCGATAGAAGTTCATTTATCGTCGATCCCCAGACCGAGTATAAATTTTCGCATTGTTACCATTTTACGTTATTTCGTGCACCGGCTAAATTGTACGCCCGTCTCTACGACGCCATAACGTATTCGTCACGTGGGTGGTGCGAACGCACGAGAAGGAAGAAAAAAAGGAAGAAACAAAAAGAAGCAACAAGCATATCTTAGAAATATTGCGTACCTGAGTGTTCCTCGTATATCCGTATCCCATAAACCTCTCATCGTGCGACGGCACGATATCCTTCGCCACGTAAAACGGCTCGTAAAGAAATTCGAAATTCGTCACGTCGTGGCTAACGTAGACCTTGCCGGTCTTCACGTTTTCATGATATTTATGGTTCGGTAACACGTCCTGCAGCCACCTGCAAAATGAAAAATTCTCTCAAATATCCGCGTCGCGGCTATCCAAATAATATTTCGTACGGTCGGTCAACAACAATTCACGCTCTGTATACACGAAGTCGCACGAACGGGTACAAATTACGTCCAATAACCACTGAATAACGGCAAAATTATCAAACAGCTATTATTAAAGTCAGATAAATAATGTAGCTCGTTATAGGAAAACCATTATGGGCTCTCATCGTCACGGTGTTCCGATCAATAATTTTAATTAAACGTGTATACGCTACGTCGATTATATATTTTATTATACAAGTACTTTATTAATATCAATTAATTTCGCGCTTTATCTAAAGCGGGGGGGGGTTGATGTGTTGTGAGAAAGAAATATCCGGCGAAGAATCAATATCTAATCCGGAAGTACTTGCCTTGTGAAATTCGTGGCGAACTGATTGTGTATGAAGACCTTCTGGTGAAAAGGCCTAGCCAAGCCTTTCCTGGCCAGTCTGACCAGCTCGGTCTTATTCGGGGGGAACCGCACTCGTGCGTCCAATTCGTACGTGGGTATAACGTAGGCGCACTTATCACAGTTGTCGCTCCTGAGAAAGTCGTCGAGCGCGACCGTAAGATTGAAGCTCGGCACGATGTCCACATCCGTCAGGAACACGTATTCCGTCTGGCAGTTCTTGCGCGCCAAATTTCGCATGTGATTTTGCGGATAAACGTTCCGTATCCTCCAGTTGGTCTGCTCGCTGGATATGTGACCTGCGAATTCGTTCAAGGTGGCCTCCGGCTTGGCACAGTCGACGATCTCCGGCAGTTCGAACACACGCGGCTGCTTCTTGGGTGGTCTCGTTTTCGGCACGGCTAAAGAGAAGACTACCCTTTCCCTGATGGCCTCGTAGCATCGCCTTAGGTAAACCAGGTATCGCTGCAGCACTTCAAACTCCTCGTCACCGGCCGCGTAGAGCGCCACCGACATCGGTCCGGTCCAGTGCAGGGCGACTTGCACCAGCGAGTGCAGCTTCTCCATGGAACTCTGAGTGGCCAGGCAGACCCGGTAAGTCTGCGACAACTCGGTGAATCTATTGCCGACCAGTACCGAATCGAAGGTCCGGAATATCCGTCGCGCGTCCCATCTCCCGAGTTTAATGTCCAGTTTGAGACTGTTCGCGTCAGGTGACGTCGGTTGGTAATCCTGCGTGATGCACTCCGGCTGTTGCTCCTTGACGAGGCTGCCGAGATTCCACTCGGTGACGGCGCTCACCTCCACTTCCCGCGGTATCGGGTCCGGCGCGCAGGTCTCCGACTGCAGCAGCAGGAACGTCAGCAGCATGTTCGACAGCGCCAGGATGATCACGCTCGTCAGACTGAGATTCCATGGCCGGCATCCCAGCTGGAAGCGAGAACGAACACGCTGATCACTTAATAGCGGTTGTCGCTTGCTCACGCGTCACTTTACGCGAACAACGTTGTACAAGATGTTGCATCAACATATAGGTCATAATGACGGATTGTCTATTCGCGTACAAGGTGTTGTATCAACATACGACCCATTATATGACGGATTGCTTGCCCAAAGGTATGCGCATCCAGATGGCAATTTCAGATTTGTTGAAACAGTCATTCGCATATCTTTCTTTTTTATTATAATAATTAGAAACGCTATAACTTTGTTGGAAAGATATGATAATATCGACAAATCCGAAATTATCATCTGGACGCGCGCGCCTTTGACCAGGCAACTCGTCGTAATAGGTCGTGTGTTGATGCAACACCCTGTATACATAAGGAGTTGAAACTATTATAATCAGAGTTGTTATAAGCCTATTGCCGTAACCAGACTTACTTTTATGATTTTTAATCTTATGAGTTATGTGTAAGATTAAGAATTGCGTAACTTTCCGTTTAAAGACTGGTACTGCACACGACGCCGACCGTATGACCGATTAAGGAGTTTAAAGACGTTTCGAAAAGCCAGAAATATGTGAAATTCCTATCGACGATCAAACGCCATAGCCAAACCGGCAACCGGGACAAAAGAGCCCATTAACAAGTTGCTGAGTGGAGTAAATTATAGTAGTTTATCGCGCTAGTAAATCATAGGCTAAATTTTTCCTCGTCTGTAATATCGGGAACTTATGAACTCGTCGGAATGACACCGGCGACGGCGGTTGCGTGTAATGTAGAGGAGGTATGCGATAATAACTGAGCTTCGCGGGATGACGTCCAAGTTATCGCGATGTCCGATCTGCACCAAATTTATCGGAAGTTTTTTCGTTCCCGTACTTATGGGGCGGCGGCTCACCGAAAACACGATGAAGAAAATAGCCGTCAGGCGAACGACGCACGATCTCGTCGTAATGCGTTTTCGCGTTAAGTCGAAATGCTGCTTTCCCTTCGCGTTTTGCTCGCCACTTATTCTTCCAGAACCGCGAGGCACAGTGTGTCGCCGGCTAGCGTGAATAATTTCATAGGAATACGTGAGCGGAATAAAGTGGACCGTAGCGAGATGAGGCCGTGGTATAACAACGAATCTCATATTAGTCCCCATTGGAGGGCTAACGGCTCGAGAAAGAGAGAGAGAGAGAGAGAGGGATTCCGCCAAGTAAAACGAGTTCTTCGAAAAAGCATTTAAAAACGCATGAACGCGTGAACGCGCGTGTTCGTCTTTACTTATTTGTCAGAAAGAGAGTGTACTTAAAATGCATTATTTATTCGCGACAAACGACACGCGGAGATCATGAGGAATAACGTCGAATCTCTTTCTAATATTTCAGAATTAAATACAGCGTAAAATAGAATTTCCTTTAGTGCTCGTCGGTTCCGCTGCACTACTGTTAAAAGTCTACGAGAATTACTAGCTCTAAAAAAATCGTCCCTGACTATAATGCGAGACTAAAGCAAACGGTAAGAAAATACAACCCAATGAAATGCAGCTCGGACACGAGCGGGTGAACGCGCGCACGCGCTCGCGTTATTCCACCCCGTCTCGGGACATATCAAAACGTGTAATCGGATTATATCTTTCGCGTGTATTTGCGAGGGAAGTCAAGAAAGCCGAGCGGAGCCGTTTAAACTGGGGATACTTCGCTCTCTCTTCTATAAATAGGGAGATTATCCCGGTGCGTTCCAGGCGAAGAACTTACGATAACACCGCAACGGGTGGCGTTGTTTTTAAACAAACCCGTGAAAGTGGTTCGGTCGGCGGAAAAGCAAAAAAACCAAGCAACTTACCGACAATAGTCTGTCGTGACTGTCGAGTGCAGAGCAAGGGCCATTTTAACGTCCTAATTACTATGGGTTCGCTATCCGACGAGACTCAATGCAAAAATCAGTGCCGACGCTACGGCGAGGTGACGGCTGCCTTGAATGCCCGGAAAACAAAAGAGAGGTAACAGCGAGATAATGAAATTCATTCTTTCTTATCCATTTTGCCACATTGCGTTAAGATATTTTTTTTAACAAATCGAAGATATTAAACAAATCGAATCATTTTTTTTACCGTTCTATATACACACAATAAAATTCGTAAAATGTCCGCGATTGTGTCTCACGCTCGCCGTCGGGTAATAAATATATAACGCTTTACGACAATAAAACATATAGTTTTTAATAACACATGCGAAACATGTGACGCCACTGGGATAAATAGTTTCTATTTCTCATTGTGGCTGCAAAATGTTTTCAGTTTTGTAATTTTTAGCTCGTCAATTTAGACAATTCGAAACGAAGGGTTCTTCCTGGCAACAGATCGTTTTGAATAATAGCGAATTGAAACGCGCAACTGAAAAGGTATGGACAGCAGCGTTTTAACTGTCCTTAAACTTAGTCGTGAGAAAACTTATGGTGTTATTTCCCGTGTCGAGTTTTTTGCGCGCGTATACGTGCGAACGGAACTTTGCGGCTAAGAATATGCGCACGTTGAGTTTACCTATCCTCGAGACGCCGAATGCTCTAATACCGGCCCTGGCAAAAATTGCACCGCTATACCACGAGCAACTAACCGACGTGGAATCCGCCCTAATGCGCCTTGGGGAACAATGTGTTGCTTCGCGGGCGTAAACGCCGGTCGTAAGTATCCCAAGCAGCAAGTTCCGTGCCCAGGCGAAGGGCTCGCGCGTCGTTCCGCCCAACTATCAACCCACCGAAAATTATATACACACCGATAAGAACTTCGCAGCAGCCCTTACTCGCCGCCTGGTTTCCATCTGTATGTTCAACCGACGGAACTAACACCCGAGGTAAAATCTTCGCACCCGAAGGAGATAAATCATTCCCCTCGACTCTTAACCCCTTCCCACCTCTTCCTTCCCTACCTTCTCCTTTTCGTCACCCTCTACCTCAGAGATGGGCAAACGTTGGCTAGTCCGACGTGCGAGCGTCTTTTCCGCGAGCGGAAAGAAAGTCTTGAGTAGAAATGCATCTTCTGGAGGAGCCTTGACCGACTTGGGGGAAGCGGATATCGAATGCATTAGGGTCGTCGCGCGTATAGAGTGAGCGCGGCCGCGACGATGCTTCTCTTTCGCATGCGCGAGCGAATGTCGGCGTTCTCTTGCGAGTGTGTGCCGAAGTGTGACGCGCGCACCGCACATACCGCGCATTACACGCTTTTCCTTCGCGGGGAGCGGCTGACTCAATGTATGTAACAAACGCAAATGTTTGACGAATCGAAGGCACATCTAGCGTGGTACGTCGACTCGACTTGTCGAGCGAAAATCGAGTGAGAGCGAACGACGATATTTTCGTGACATTCCAAGTTCTCGCCGTATGCGAAAACAAATGCCGAATTATGTGTGGAAACGAACTCACTTTAGCGGTTCTTCCGCGGACACTTCCGTTTTCGATCAAGCGCGTTGTTCGGTGAATTTTATTTTTATTTTTATCTCCAAGTCTTCTACATACTTCGTATACTTTGATGTTTACGCGATGTACATTGCGGTTCCGATAAAACATTTAAAATTTGTAATCTACATTGCAACGTCGTTCTAATTTAAAATTACGAAAGTACCGCGATGATGCTGCAGTATGGAGGGAACAAAATGTTAACACGGGAATTAATTGTTTAACGTCGGTGCATCAGTGTTGGTAATTGCCGCAATTTTATTGCGTTATCGAGCTCCCCGTTTGTAGCGTATTCACAAACTAGTAACATACACATGTTGTGTTTGCCTTTCACGTTTACTACATGTTTTCGCGGATAATATTTGAAAACGACGGCACTGTGTGCAAGCTCTAGATAGCCATTAAATGCACCCCGGGCTGGAAAAATGAGTAAAACAAATTCCGCCGTTTCAACGAGCTTGTCTGAAACAATTCAGACGGCGTGTGCCGAAGTACGTAAACTCGGTGTTATATTTTTTTTAGTGTGTGTTGCGAAAGACCATCATTACATGTTACGCGGCGATACATGAGCGACACGCACACGCTTCGTTATATATTTTATTTTTTTATCATTTGTTCGGCAAACGTAATTTTTTCACCGTCGTGTTTTCGTTCCATTTCGCTGCTTGTCATATTATCGTTGTATCAAAGCGCGAACAAGTGTCTCGATGACACGACGACCGATCTTTGTCTTTCACGTAAGAACACCGTGAAAAAGATACGTGCGTCATGAAAAATTCAAACTCGCTATATACGTCCGTTAAAGCCACGCGTTATTAGCATTAAATCTTCTGTACAGTTCTCCCTTCCAATTATGTAAATCAATATACGACTAAATACAAGTCGAGCGGAAGTCGGATTTCGCAAACGTTTACTTTTGTGAAAGATTCTATTAGCATCTTGCATTAGTATTTTTATCAGGTTGGTCAGAAAATCTTTTTGTATTTTATGCAAAAAGGAGAAAATTGTTTTGCACGAAAAGTGCTTTTATTTTAATCATCAATATAGTCTCCGCTTTTAAACCTCCGCTTTTAAATCTCCGCTTAATAACCTCCTCTCATTTACAAGCTTGAAAATTCTTTGTAAAAGGAACTAGTCTTGGAATTAAAGAAAAGATTCTCTCTTTGGACTTTGTCCACCGAATCGAATTTTTTTCTGTTAAGAAAATTTTGCAGGGGTCTGAAAAGATAATAGTCCGATAGCGCGAGATCAAGAGAGTATGGTGGTTGTTCGAAAAGTTTTCAATTAAGCTGTCCGATTTTTCTCAACGTGGGTGCGCTCACATAGGGGCGAGCGTTGTCCTGGTGAAAGAGAATACCTTTACGATTGACAAGTTGGGGCTGGAGCTCCTTGAGTTTTGTTTAAACTCTTTCTAACTGCTGACAGTAGAAGTTCGTATTGATCGTTTGGTTTCTTGGTAGAAGCTCATAGTAGACAATTCCGCGCATATACTATCATACAATCAATACGAACTTCTGCCAAATATTTCGCTTTGAGTCCTCTCGATTGAAC